GGGAGAAAGGCCAGCCCCTCACCATCACCTGGATCCTCTCCTCCCAACACTCTCCCTCCCCCTTGCTCACCAACTCCGGCCACACTGACCTCCTTCCGGTTTCCTGAACCTGCTGGACTAACGTCCACCTCAGGCCATCACCCAAGATGTCCTTGCTGCTTGGAATCTCAGCTCCTCTTCCTCTCCTCGCTTTGCCCAATTCAGTGGTTCCCGAGCTGTGGTCCCTGGACCAGCAGTACCAGCATCGCCTGGGAGCTTGTTAGAAATGCAGCTTTTCATTCCACAATGTATATCAAATCAGCACGCTGTACACTTCAAATGTATACAATTATTTTTGGCAATTGTTCCTCAAAGTTGGGGGAAAACAAGAAAGAAATGCGGTTTCTCGGGCCCCAGCCCAGCTGAATCAGAAACCCTGCGGATGGACCAGCACCCTGGATTCTGGCGGGTCCTCCAGGTGATGCTGAAGCACACTCAGATTTAAGAACCACCGGTCTGGTTAATTCTCGTCTGTGCTTTCGAGTGTCAGGTTTAGACCTAGCTCAAATGCCACTTCCTCCAGGAAGCCTTCCTTGACTTCCAGATCAGGGCCCCACGGCACCCCATGCCTCTCCTCTCTGGCAGTTATCACAGCTGTAATTACACAATTACTCGTGTAGTCCATTGAAAGTCTTTCTCTTCCACTAGAGCACGTGCTCCAGGGGCCCAGGGAACACGTTATCTTTTTTGCCCATCCACCCCCAGCACCTAGAACTGTGCCTGGCTCACAGTGAGTGCTCAATAAATACATGTTGAGTGAATGAATAACCACATAAGCAGGCCCTCCTCTCCAGCCTTTCCTGGCAAGCATTTATATTTACTGTGTGCGTCTACAGGCAAGGTGCTGAGACAAAAAGACAGTCCCTACCTTCAAGGAGCTCACTGCCACGAGGGAGGATCAACACAGGATAAATCAACTGAGTTGGTCTTCAAGTAGGGATGGACAGTTGCCAGGCAGAGAATTCAGGGAAAAGTATGAGAAGTAGAAGGAACAGCATATGCAAAATGCACAGTGAGATGGAACGATGCAGGAGTTGAGAGGGTGGAAGGAGTTGCAGACAATGAGGCTGGAGAGTCAAGTCGAGACGCAGCGGCTAAATGAAACTAGGTGGACGGCAGGCTAAAGAGTTTGGATTTTATTGTGTGGGTAGGCACTGAGGCTCCCCTGAAGGTTTTCAAGCAGACAAGTGACCTGATATCTTAAAAAAAAAAAAAAGTCACTCTGGTAATACAGTCTGGGAACCCAAGAAGGGTGGGTTCATTCGTGTATTTATTCCCAAAGTGTGTATTAAGCATGGCCGTGTCCTGGGCGCTGGGATACAATGGTGGGCAGAGCAGATGTGGTCCCAGGAGCTGGCAGTCTGTCATTCCGTCCACACTAACTTAAGCCTCTTTCCCATAGCAGGAGATATGGCCACCACTAACATCCCCACTCTGTTTCCCTCGATGCAGTCCTGGGCCGTCCCTGAAGCCTCCGGGGACAACAGAGGTGCCTGCAGCCCCTGGCTCTCGGGTTTCTGTGGGTGATTCTGAGCGATTCTTCCTGGGGAGGGAGACAGCCAGCAGGATCCACGGGGGACAATGGCTGCCTTTGTTGCTTCTGCCAGGGCCGCTCCAAGAATAGCTGTTTGCTCAGCTCACAGCAGGGCTGGTGCTGGGGTAGTAGGAGGGTGCGGGGCTCTGCAACTCCAGTGTGGGCCGAGTGTTGACCCCCTGAGCCTCTGGGGCCTACTCCAGTTCCTCACTGGCCCGGAGGAATGCAGGTGGCTGGGAGCAACACTTTCAGCAACTACTGTCAGAGTCGGGTCCTAAACCCATCCTGCCCTTTAAATTTGTAAAGCATTTTTTCCTAAGTAGAATTGTATGCAGAAACTCGATATATAAAATCAGGTGAAATAACAGTGGCTCTGGCTAAAAAGAGGAGCAGGGATCCGGCAGAGAGACGCCCAGCTTTTCGGCGCCTCCTCCCCACCCCTTAGCCCAGGGCCCGCTCCCTCTGTGCTCTCCAGACTCCAGCCACCTCTGACCTGGTCCCATCCTCTCATTTGGCACTTGATGGAACAGAAGGGGAAGTGCCTGGCTCAAGGCCACCCAGCAGGTTGATGATCAAAGCCGGGACTTTCACTAGAGGAAAGTTTCCCAGACCCGAGCCCACGATTGCCCAGACTCGCGTGAATTTTACCAAAACCATATTCCACCTGAAGTACTGTTCACATTTTTCCTCAAATCAACTCACATTTTTCTTATAAATTTATTTTAAATGGAGATCCTGTATCGGTACCATAAATGGCAAGCCTTTATCAATTGCCATAAAAAGATAACACATTAATAAATACATAAATCTTCTTTACGTTGTGCATCCGTGTGCCGCCTAAAGCATCTTACACGCGTACCCACGCCTCCCTTTGAGGAATGCTGCCTGGCGCTTCTGCAAGGCTCACTTCTGTCCTGCTCGGCTCCACTTGGTTCGCTGGGTGTGCCCAGCCCTGTGCTGGGCTCTGCAGGAGGAGGGATGGGAGAGGCCAGACCCTGCCCACCGGGGCGTACAACCTGGAGGAGGACAGGTACCCCAAGGCAGCACCACAAGACAAAGTGAGCCCCTGCCCTGTGAGGGATGAGAGACGAAGCCCGAGGGACAGGAGGGGTGGGTGGTCATCCTGTGTCATTAGAGGTGGGCACATGGACACTCAGAAGGTGCAAGGGACACACTCAAGACCCCCTCAGCAAGTCAGTGGCAAAACTGGGCTCGAATTCAGATCTTTTGCACATGTACCCCCAATCCAGGGTTTTTGCTTAGAGGCTGTGCTTCTCCTAATGTTGGGTGTGGACAGAGGCAGCAGGCTGCGGCCAACAAGTGTCCAGGCTCAGATCAGCCCAGTGCCCCCATGCTGGGCTGAGGCGTGTAGAAGGTGGTGGACAGACAAGAAATAGAGCGGCCCTGGAGCTGCTTTTTCAGGCTCCTTTCCCAGCACTGGGCATGAGCTGTGGACCCTTGTCCACTCTCTCCTGCCAGTGCCCAAGACCAGCGGTCTTTGCCAGCAGCCGCTGCAGTCTGTGGCCTGGGTCAGAGAGACCCTGCCTGGCGGCCTCTACAGACTCACACTCACGGCCTTGGTCACCCCAGGGTGCCCAGACTGCACTGCTGAACAGCTAGACCAGTGGTTCTCTAAGTGTAGCCCCTGGACCAGCAGCACCCACGGTTCCTGGAACCGTGGTAGAAATGCACATTCTCAGGCCCCACACCAGACCTGCTGCATCTGAAACCCTGAGGAGGGGCCCAGCGATCTGTGCTTTGACAAGCCTTCCAGGTAATGCTGCTGCTGCTGGACTTGGAGAACCTCTGGTCCAAACCTGTCCTTCACCCCTGGCCACTGTTCACATCTTCAGCTGCCCCAGCTGCACCTCTGTCCTGCCAGCCTCTCCAGGGATGGGATCCACAAATCTGTAGCCTCAAAAAACACGTGAAGATTTAAACAGCACGGCCTGATCATTCTGATACTCAACCAGAGTGGAGAGCTCTTCTGGAACCCAGGAGCACCAGGCCCGCAGACACTTGCACCGACGTCTTAGTCCCAAGTCCCATGAGAATCCCACCTAAATCCCTCTGAGCCCTCTTTAGCCTCTGGGAACCTTCAGACTGGGGGCTGGATTTACAAAAACTGTCAGCCCTGGGCCCCTTCCTCCACTCGTCTCCCTGTCCTTCCTGTCACCCTCCTTAAGCCAGTGTCTTAGGCAGCCAAGCTGCCGTGACAAAATACCATAGGCTGGGTGGTTTAAAAACAGACATTTATTTCTCACAGTTCTGGAGGCTGGAAGTCTGAGCTCAGGGTGCCGGCAGGGTTGGGTCCTGGTGAGGACTCTGCCTGGCTTGCAGCCAGCTGCCTTCTCCTCAGGTGCTCACATGGCCTTTCTCCATGCACGTGGAGAGATCTCGCTCTCTCTTCCTCTTCTTATAAGGCGACCAATCCTATTAGATTACCTCTTGACTTCCTTACTCTCATGACTTCTTTAATTACCTTCTAAAAGACTTATCTTCAAATACAATCACAGTGCAGGTTAGGGCTTCAAAATGTGAATTTGGGGCACACAAACATTCAGTCTATAGCAACCTGATCAAACCAGTTATTTTCCTGCCCTGAAATCTTATGGTTTTTCAAGAATTCTGAAAGTCTTTTCCTTTCAATAGAAAACCACACCGGATCCCCAAGGAATGACTCTCAGGGAGGAATTCCAAGCCTTGATCACTGTGGCAGGAAGGAGGGATCTTTGTGACAGAGCCAGCCCACCCCTTCTCCTTTAGGACCCAAGTTCCAGGCTCCATTCCTGTGTACTTGGACCCTGCCCCCTGGCCTCCAGCTCAGATACAGGACGGGGGTTGGGAGACAGGGTTCTGGGCCTACTGCTGCCTTTGGAGCAAATTCATTCCTCCATCTGGGCCTCAGTCATCCACCCATACGGTACCCTGTGGCTCCCAAAGCTGGATGCCCATCAGAAGCATGAGCAAACATGTTAAGAATTCATGGCCTGGTGGCATAGTGGTTAAGTTCACATGCTCCGCTTCAGCGGCCCAGGGTTCGCAGGTTCGGATCCCGGGTGCGCACTGATGCACCGCTTGTCAAGGCATGCTATGGCAGCGTCCCATATAAAGCAGAGGAAGATGGGCATGGATGTTAGCCCAGGGCCAATCTTCCTCAGCAAACAAAAAAAAAAATTCAGATCCCTAGGCCCCACCCTCGAACATTCTGACTCAGTAGGTACAAGATTGGCCCAAGGAGTCTGTATTTGTAAAAAGTGCCTCTTTGCTACCAGGTGACTGCAGTACAGCTGGGTCCTTTGGGGTCCCCCAGACCAGACGACCTGGGAGGGCCCTGGCAGCCTTGCTCCTCAGGAGTCTCCTCCAGAAGCCCCTTGTCCCGCCTGCCCCAGGGATCCCCATGACCCGCTCTCCTCTCTCCCCACAGCGCAGCCCCAGCCGGGGCCCAGACCTTCAGCCTGAAGCACTCAGCGCGCGTGCGGGTAGAGGTGGTGCGGGACGGGCAGGCCGAGGAGGTGGTCTCCAATGGCAAGCAGCGCTGGCCCCTCTCACCCACCACCACGCTGCGGCTCACCATGAGCCAGGCGAGCTCCGAGGCCAGCAGTGACAAGGTACCACGGCTGGGGAAGTCCGCCACCGAGGGCCGCGGAAACAGGGGTTGTGCTGGAATGGAGAGGGGCTGGACCAGTGGGGTCTGATAGAAACAGAATGCCAGCCACACGTGTCATTTTCAGTTTTCTAGGAGCCACATTAAAGGAGCCAAAAGAAGCAGGTGGATTTAATTTTAATTTCTTTTACTGAACTCCATATATCAAAATATTATCATTTTGACGTGATATCAGTATAAAAACAGCGTTGAGATAGTTTACATTCTTTTCTCATACTGTGTCTAAATTGGGTGTCTACTTACACTTATAGCGCATCTCAGTTCAGACTTGCCGCATGTCAAGTGCTCAGTAACCACCTGTGGCTGCTGGCTACCGTATGAGACAGCCCAGCGTTAGCCCGTGGAATGACGGCTTCATGGAAGGTTAACATTGTGGGCTGCTGAGTGACGGAATGTTACAATCATTGGAAGTCATAGCCACAAACGTCCTTGGTCTCATTGTGAATAAAATGGGGTGCGGGACACCCGAGCAACAAAGTGATTTGCCCAAGGGGTGAGGCCGAGACCAGACTCTCGCTTCACTGGGTTCTCTGATCATGAACTTCACCATGTGCCCCATGGCAGTGATGGCGCTGGGCATTATCCAAAGAAAATAACTTCAGCCCTGCCCCCTGGGTGCTTAGCGGGTCTAGACATACACCATGGCAGATGTGGGGGCCCCACAGGCAGCAGAATGTACTGCAGGGACAGCTGGGCAGTCGGCACCCTGGGTGCAGTCTGAGAAGAGGGGAGTCCCCTGTCTAGTTGGACGGTCTGGGAGAAGTAGCCCACCAACCCTGGATTGCTTCCTGGAGGAGAGGGTTTGGAAGTTTGGAGAGAATGGGCTTGACAGGCTGAAGTCTGAGGTGGGGAGGGGGGTCCCTGCAGATTTTTCTGCCTGTGGTCTGTGATCTCTGCTCTTCTCTCCTCCCAATGCGCCCCCTCCGCACCAAGGTCACCGTCAACTACTATGAAGAGGAGGAGAACACCCCCGTCGACCAGGCTGGGCTCTTCCTCACGGCTGTCGGTGAGTTGGAGGAGCTGTGGCCTGGGTGCCTTTGTTCCCCGGGCACTGGTGTTGCCTCCCTTCTTAGCGGCACTTGGGCTGCTTTCAATGCTGCAGACCTGGCACTCGGAGCTGCCTCTAAATAATGCAGGCCCGGGGAGGGATGCCACACATGCACGGGCCCTTCTGTATTGGAGTGAGGGGCGTCCTGCAGGAGGAGACATGCCCTGGTTTGCCAGCAACTCAGCCCAATGTCAGCGTCCCCATCCCAGGCTCAGTGGGCCCCGGAGAAGAAAGAGCCAAGTCTGCTTCTCCCCCGCCTCTCCCCTGCAGCCTGGAGAAGAGTTTGCCTCTCACGGTGAGGGAAAGGGCCTGTCTACAGAGCCTGCGCTGTCCTTGACAGCCAGGCTCCCTGCTGGCCTGCCCTGGACCCAGCCGTGGGGGCATAGAGATGTAGCCTGGGTCCTTAACTCACCCGGTCCAAGCCCTTCGTTTGACTCATGAGGACAGTGAGGCCCAGAGAGGTTAGCGAACTTGCTCAAAGTCACACAGCAACTTGGTGGCAGCTTGAGTCCAGAACTCAGGATTATTCCCCTCCCAGGTTCTTTCCATCTGCACTGCACTCCCCTGTCCTGGGTGCCAGGGCATGTGGGATGTGGTCTTCTGAACCTTCCGTCACTCGACTCTTCTGCAGTTGAGGTATTACTTTTACACGTTTTTCAAATCTTGAATCATATAACGTTTAAGCCAGGAGGACATTTCAGAGGGTCAGTTTGTCCATCCAGCCTTAACTTAACATTGGCAGAGTTGCCACATGGCGGGGGCAGAGAACGTGCAGATATTGAGAGTCAGCGATGTGCTGATGCTTTAAAATGAGGACAATGTCTCCCGTTTATTCAGCACCTCCTCGGCCTCCAGGACTGTGCTGGGTGCTTGGAGGAGGAGGGGGAGGAGGAACACCTGGCATTTATTGAGCACCTGTGGTGTACTAGGCTCTAATACTAGATGTTTACTGTCATGATCTCCATCTATTCTTACGTCTATGCCAAGAATAGACACTATGATTGGCCCCATTTTACAGATGAGAAAACCAAGGCTCATAAAATGTAAAACAAATAAAAACTTGCCTGAGACTACACCCCCAGAAAGTGGTTTGTGGGACCTCCAAGTCATTTCAATTATCTCATTCCCCAGGGGTCCCAGAACTCCCCCCAAAAAACAACTAGTTCCCAAGTCAGCACGTCCTCCTCCAGCTGTGTGCTTTTAGCTGCCGAAGCAGGCTCAACAGCAGTGCTCCCCGCTTCTCAGCTGTCTCCCCAGTGGGCTTGGTTGCTGGCCACCCTGTCCCTCTCTCTGCACCAAGGGGATGCCCAGCCCAGGGCAGGGTCCTCAGGACAACCCTGGGGGGCCTCGGGAGATGGAAACCAAAGCCCCCAAGTTGCAACTGAGGGCTGGCACGTGTGTGACCCTCACATGCACACAGAGTTCCCAAGTTGTCTCAGATGACCACCCCTGAGGAAACCTGATCCCACAGAGACAGGGACACCTGAGGACATAAGCAGGAAGGGCAGTGCCAGAGGCCTGTCAAGTGAGGGTGATCCCAGAGGGCTGACCGCACCATTAGTGAGACTTGACCAAAGCAAGGCGGACTTAGGATAGATGGCAAAATAACACACTGTATACTGGAATTTTTCTCTGCGCTAGAAGATGGTAAGGCTGGTGCTCAGAGGAAGCCTCAGAGAGGGCAGCAGGGCCGAGACCCCGGAAGATACCACATGCGCCCGTGAAGAGTGACCCGTCTCATCCTTCTCAGGTTCTGAGGCTGTGCCTTCACTGAACGATTATTTGTTTAACTGCCAAAAGGTCCAGACATTTAGGTGCCATGGGCCAGTCAAATGTCCCCCCACCAAAAAAAAAGAATAAAAAGCCTGACGAAGCCTGATGCTCGGCCAAAAAGAAAAGACACTAATAAAATAATTTGCCATCAATTATCACCATCATTTTAACATCTAAAAAGTAGGCAGAGCATAATTTCAGAATAAAAAAACTGTCATTTACATTGTAGAAATAAAGCTTTATTAAAAACTCACCCCACTGAACTTATGTTTCCTTTTCCATCAGGGACCCTGGTGAAACTCTGGTTTCCTTTGGGAGCCACTGGTCTATCTGACCCCTCCAGGTCTTGTCTTCCCTCGGGCATCTACCCCAGGAGGCCTTGAGCCCCATGTCCTGAGTAATCGTACAGAGGCAGGGACACCCTGAACATCCCAAGATGATGGGACTGCCCTGCAAGGACATATCCGAGTCTCCCCTAGTTCAGTCCTAAGCCCACGCTGAGCAGAAAGAGCCCTGGCTTCAGAGCAGACAGAAGTAAGTCTAAGTTCTGGTTCTGCCCCCTCCGGCCACGTTGTGATCATTGTCCTTCTGAGCCTCAGTTTCTTCATCTGCAAAATGGGATTTACAGTGCACTCCTGCACAGTGCTTACAAAGATTCAATGGGATGGTGCGTGCAAAGGGCCTGGTGTGGAGTGGGTGCTCAGTCGACGCTCTCTTTCCTTTCTTCCCTTCCTCTTGGGGAGCCACATTTTCTCTGCCTGGGTGAAGCTGGAGAACCTGCTTGTCCCTCAGTCTTACTCCTGGGATTTGGGAGCAAACCCATGGTGCCCTTGGCCAAATCAGGCCCTGGATTTTTGTCCCAGTCCTGCCAAGGACCGTGTGATTTGACAAGTAGCCCACCCTCTCCAGACCTCACTTTTTCCTAGCTATAAAATGAGAATTTTGAGCTCATTGATCCCTGGGGGCCTTCAAGACTCTAACTAGGGCTGATTTGCAAAGCCCTCCCCTCTTAAGGGGGAAGTTAAGCGGGAAAGTGGGAGGAAGACATAGTCTCACCCTCTTTGCTGTGGTCCTGGTGACGGGAGCAGTACACATCCACAAGCTTTGAGAATTTTTAGCATCAACCTAAGGACCTCGTTCCTTGAGCCCCCTCCCCAGAGCCTAGGATAATTGCCCTAGTTGGCTGTGGAGGGAGAGTCCTTCCTCCCCACCACCCCCCAAGCTGCCCAGTAAGGCAAGAAGGCCAGGCACCCTGCCGCTGTCCCTGGGGGCTGGCATCCCGCCAGCGTGCTTGTGCCTCTGTGTCAAAGCCGAGGCCTCGAGGTCTAGATTCTCAGGGCCGACTGCTTTGAACCCAATCCCACTGACATTTCCCGGTAACCCGCCCCACAACCAAGGTGCCACCTGACACCTTGGGGCTATTCCGGGAGCTGAGGTCGGATGCAGAGCCTCTGGGAAATGTCGTCTGGAGCCCAGAGGCCCTGAAACAGATGTCCTCCCCCATCCCCCACCCCCAAGAAGGCAGGAGGGCAGAGCTCGGGGCAGGTCCCGCCAGCCCTCTTCTCCATCCCTACAAGGATCGTCCCATTGGGGGCTAGTTAAATTGGACACTGGGGGAAGCTTTGAAGGGGAGAAGTCCTCCAGGGATGGCTTATAGCTTGAGGGGGTTTCCGAGGGAGAGTGGAGAGGAAAGGAGGACATTTCTCCATTTGACTGTGGAGGGTGGGAGGTGGGTGATAAGGGAGCCCAATTACATAATGCCCAATTGCATAACAAGAAGTTATGCAGGAATGAAACTTACCTGAATTTAATAAATCAAGAAATAGCAATAAGCATATTATTTTGTATTAGGGAGATTGCTTCAGGCAGGTGAGGGAAAGGACTTTATGGGGAACTGGGTTTTTTTTAGAAATTGTTTGATAATATTTGATTTCTTTTTTTTTTTTTTTTGCACTATGTGCAACTATCACACCGATAAAATTTTTAAATTTAAGAAATCCATAATGAAGTAAAGCACAATAAAGTGCTTCCTAATCTCTCTCCTATGACCCCCTGCTTTCATGGACGCACCACAGGAGCCACGATGTGCCACCTTCAGCCTAGAGACGAAGGCCACAGGGCTTCCAGGGTGGGGATGTGGCAACTCCTCTGGGAATGACTGTCAGGGGAGCAAGTCTTGGGTCTTTGAATGTGGGCCTGGCTTGTGGAAACAGCCAGGGCAGAGGTCAGCCTGTGTCAGCAGAGGGAACAGCCGAGGGCAGGGGTCTGGAGTCAGAGTCCCGAGTGGGACACCCAGCTCTGCACTCTGGGGACTTCCTGGTCACTTTCCTGCTAAGCACCTCAGTTTCCTCATCTGTATGGGGGGAGGGGTGGCTGTGTGGGTGATAACTCCTCCCTCCTGGCATGATTAAGGTGAGAACATGCATAGAACATTCTCTGCAGCTGGCAAAGTAAACTGGACACACAGGAGAGATTGTTATCTTGGAAAGCAAAGAGAGTGACTCCTAAGGAGGCTGGGTCTGCCGCTGGCTCTCAGGGTGGAGCTTCGGGAAGCCGATCTCCCTGAAAGGCAGCGTTCACTGGGGAGTGTCGGCTGGAAAGTTCACGATGGTCTGGAGGCCAAAACCAATATTGTTCCTTCGTCTGAGTCTTCAGCCTCTTTAACAGCAGCTGGTGGCCCTGCCTTCCCGCTTTCTCCCCAGAATCCTTATCCTGCACCAGCCTCCCAGATTATCAGCCCAATTTGCTGACAGGTGACGTCTCTGAGTCTGGGTTTGCTCACCTGTACAATGGGAACAATAATATTGATCTCATGGGACTGGGGACTCCTTGCGAGCAGGCACTGTGCCCGATTGCCTGCCACGAGGTTCCTGTGCCCAGCATGGTGCCTGGAACCCAGTAGATGCTCAACAGTGATTTGCTGGGTGAATGGGATCAATGGGAGGAGTTTAGATCATTAGGCCCTACAGCATCTAACTGACAGTAGGGCTGCAGAGGTTGGGATCCTGGAGTGCTGCCTCTCCCAAGGACTAGGCACCCTTACAGCCTCCCCCTCCTGCCTCCTCCTAGACCCAGAAAAGCCATGTTCAGGGTTGGGAGGGAATCAGGCTGTGGGCAAAGGGAAGACCAGAATGTAATCCCCGGATTCCGGTGAGCCAGCTGGGGAAGGGTGACAACAAGACCCTTCCTGTGCCAGGACCCTTCTCCCCACCTGATCCAGGGAGAGGGCGTGCCTGCCAAGGGGACTGACCAGGAATGCATTCATTCCCACCCAGCTCCCACCTCGGTCCACGTCATGCTCAGCGTGAGGCCGAGCCCACCGGGCAGTTCCGGGGCCTGGAGCCAGCTCACCTCATTCTATGTGACGCCACCATTACCTTCCTGACAGCTCCCTGCCCTGCCGTTAGTTTCTAACTCAGAGGGCAATTTTGCCTCCCAGGGGACATTTGGCAATATCTAGAGACTTTTTGTTTGTCACAACTGGGGGATGGGTCTGAGAGGCCAGATGCTGCTAAACATCCTACAATGGCCCCACAGCAAAGAAGTATCCGGCTCAACTGTCAGTGGTGCCTATTATTGCAATTAGTGCAACTCCTCTGACTGGAAAAGGCCCCCATGCTGCAGGTAAAGAAACTGGGGCTCAGAAAGTCTGTCTAACCTGCCCAAAGTCACACAGCAGGGAACCAGGGTTCAAACCCACCACTGGCTAATGCTAAATCTTGGCCTCCTTTCACTGCCCCACACAGTCACCATGAAGGCTGTCCCCATGGCAGGCCTAGGGATACCGAAGGTCCCTTCCCCAAGAGGATAAGCAGGGTTCCTGCCCTGGATCCTCTCTCTGGCGGCCTGGCCCCTCAGCACCCTCAGATCGAGAAGGGTTGGAGGTTCAGATTCCAATCAAAAGTAAACCCTCAGTCCTTGGAGGTGGGATCTAAACCACTGGGAATTCTGGGAGAGAGCGACACACAAACGCACGTGGGCACACACGCCCAGCGCAGACTGGGAAAGGCAGTTACGGAATCCTATGCAAACTTTCAAACTATGAGCTTCAAATCAGACCAACTGCAGCGTGTGCCCCAGTTCTGCTAATGCCACCTGTGTGACCCTGGGCACGTGACTTGGCTTCTCTGAACCGAGGTTCCCAGATCTGTATGGTGAGGCTCATCCCGCCCACCACCCAGAATTGACTGAGGAACAATGAAGGGGTGGGAGGTCCCTCACCTCCCTGACAGCACCTCTCGAATCCATAAGCTGCAAAGTCTGCACAGTGCCTGCTCGGACTCTCCATCGCGCATCGGGGTGCTGAGGCAGGGGGTTGGATAAGATGACCTCAGTAAGCCCCTCCCCCTCCAGGGACTAAGCAGATGGATGGACTGCACCCTAATCCCACAGATCTTCCTCCTGTCCCTGGCCCACTTTATCTGGCAGGCTCAGCAACTCACCCGTGTGTCTGTCCCCAGAGATCTCCCTGGATGTGGATGCAGACCGGGACGGCGTGGTAGAGAAGAACAACCCAAAAAAGGTACCTAGCTACCAGGGCAGACAGCCCCGACCTGGGGACTTCGGGGACAGAGCCCCAGGCTGGATCCTGTAGGCAGCCATGGTCCTCCCAGCAAACACAGACAACTCGCATTTACAGATGAGAAGACTGAGGCCCAAGACAGCCCCTAGGCGCACTGCACACCAAGGACAGAGCAGAGGAGCCACGCTCCTTACAGGAACAGCCACGGAGCAGGGTCCCGAGTCTCAGTCTCCCCATCCACACCCAGTTGATAGAGCTGTCGGGAGGAATAGATGCCCTGCCCTAGAGGAAGTGCTGCCAAAGCATTGGCTCTTATTATTTTTCCCTTTGGTTTTTTAATTTTAAAACTGAGTGGGGGAGACCATCAGGGGCGGAAGACTGCAGTAATGGCTCTCAGTTCAAAGTGTGTTATCGTTGATGGGGCCTGCACAATTCGTTCGTTCATTCATTCTCTCTTATACTGCATTCCCCACTCCCATTCTGCTCCCCCATGAAGGACCCTTTGAATGGGATTAATGTGTCTCTTTCTGGTCTTATGATTCTTGCCAAACACAGGGTGTGATCAGTACACATGGCCTTTTAACTTGTGCAGAGAGCATTGTGTTCTCCATCTCATCCTGTTGCGTACTTTTCCCTCAACCCGGTTTTTAAGCTCCATTTGTTTCGCTCTGTGTACGCCCACGCCGTTGCTTCTGTTTTCCATTTTCTGCTCTTCTATATCACTTAAATCTTTGCCATGGGCGTATGTTACTTTTATAATAACAATCTAAAGCCTGGTGTAAATTATATGTCAATGGGTGCTTTAAAAAGTTAAATAAATATAGCCTAATGAGAAGCCTGGAGCCTAGCAGCCAGCCCCAGACTCTGCACATTGCCAGGGGGGCCCTCAGTCCTGTTGGGGAGCCCCTTCTCAGGCTTCTCAGTGGGGCTCTGCCCCAGCCCTGCCTTCCCAAGGCAGCCGGCCACAAGAAGAAGCTGAGTCAGCCCCACACGTACGTTCTCTGTGCTCGTGGCCAAGCCATGTGACAATAGACTCCGCGGAGGCCTCTGAGACGTCCAGCCTCCCTGAGGAGCTCTGCGGCCTGGGTGAAGTCACACAATCCCTGTGGGCCTGAACTCACCCAGACCTTCCCCATCTGGGCCAGGGAAGTTGCGTGTTCTCTTCACTCATCTCGTAAATTTTTGTTGAGCATCTTTTGTATTCCAGGGCTGGGTCAGGCCCTGGGGATGCAGAAAGAACGAGAGAAATGCAGCTCCTGCCCTCAGGGAGCCCACAGTCCAGTGGGGGGACCCACATTAAATAAAGAATGACATGGTGGCTGTTTTGTCACAATTGTCCTAAGTCTGCCCCCAAAAGAAAGTGTACAGTGCCATAAGTGTAAACCCAGTGAAGCTGCTCTTGTCTGGAGAATCAGAAAGGCTTCCAGGAAGAAGGGGCCTGAAGGAGGAGTGGATAGGCCAGGTGAAGGGAGACAGGACATCCTTCCAGGCAGAGGGACCAGCACAGGCAGAGGCCTGAGAGCTTGGAGTCTTTGGGGAGCGGAAAGGCGGCCAGTGTGGGGAGCAGAGTGAGCGAGGGGAAGGTGGAGGGAGCAGATGGAGAGGTGGGCAGGTCTCACCGGGCCTTGCAGGCCACAGTAGGGAATTGGGGCTTTATCCTAAGTCAACAGGGAGCCCCTGACAGGGCTTAAAACAGGAAAGCAACGTGATCTGGTTGGAGATCGTTGCCCTGGCTGCAATGTAGAAAACGGATTGCCTTGCAGGTCCGTTTGGAGCACTCAGAGCATGTCTGGAAATAGCTGGGTGTCCATCCATCTGGGCGTCTCACCCTGAGCCCCTCTGGGGACCTGAGAGCCTGTCGGAGAATGTCTGCAAGCTCGTTGCTCTGGCCGCCCTCCATCTCCCTGCCTCCACTCGCCTCCAGGCACAGGCACACCAGACAGGAGGTTCATAAACGCCCCGGTCAGCCTTCCTGTCTCTGTCTCTCTGCCACCATCCCCTCCTGAACTTCCCTCTGATGCCTGACCCTCTCCGGGCATCACACACGAGATTCACGTTTGCCAGCTCACAGCTGCCACAATGCATGGTGGCTGCTTTGTTCTCGTCCTGGGGCTGTCTCTCCGATGTCCTGTGGGGTCTGCGCTGGGGCTGGGTGTATCTGCCAGAAGGTGGAGAAGAGGGCACTGACCTCTCTCCCTGCCAACGCAGGCATCCTGGACCTGGGGCCCCGAGGGCCAGGGGGCCATCCTACTGGTGAACTGTGACCGAGACACGCCCTGGTTGCCCAAGGAGGACTTCAAGGATGAGAAGGTCTACAGCAAGGAAGGTGCGGCAGGACCCGCAGTCCGGGCTGGGGGCGGGGAGGAGCAAGGGAAGACTCAGGCTACGTCCTGGGCTGGGCTGAGGGTGAGGCGGCAGTGACCCTGGGTCTCCCGGGGACGGTGGACTCAAAGATCCACTCTTGCTAAAAACAGAAGACAAAACTATTAATATAGTTCAGTTGGCACCGTGTTTTTTCAGAAGTTACATGTACACAGAAGAAGGACTGGAAGGAAATTCCCAAAAGGTTATAGGAAGTCGTTTGTGGTGTTGGAGTTGACAACCGGTTTTGATGCTTTTCTATAGTTCCCATAATACACGTGTGGGGTTTTCTTTGTCTTGATGATAAAAGTCACAGGCATTTGTAAACCAACATTCCAACCACAAGTCTCTTACTCCTAACCTCCTTGTGCGTCCGCCCTGCAGACCTCAAGGACATGTCCCAGATGATCCTGCGGACCAAAGGCCCAGAGCACCTCCCCGCCGGATACGAGATAGTTCTCTACATTTCCATGTCGGACTCGGACAAAGTGGGCGTGTTCTACGTGCAGAGTGAGTGTCCCAGCCCAGCCCTTCCTTCCCGCCGTTCCCATCCACTCGGTGCTCACTGAGCAACCCTCACTGGGGCCGGCTGTCCCTCTAAGGCTCCCTCAGGCAGGTGCAGGGGCAGGTGACTGCAGGGGTCCAGGACTGGCCTCTGAGCAGCAGTAACTGGACCACCATTATCCTGTGAAGTCAAGAGACTCGAGGACAGATCTTCTTCCCTCAAAGGAGTCAGCAATGATGTGGGTTTATGTGAACCCAGAGGCCCTTCTTGCCTCAGAGGAGTCGGCAATGATGTGGGTTTATGTGAACCCAGAGGCCCTTCTTGCCTCAAAGGAGTCGGCGATGATGTGGGTTTATGTGAATCCAGAGGCCCTTCTTGCCTCAAAGGAGTCGGCGATGATGTGGGTTTATGTGAACGCAGAGGCCCTTCTTCGCCATGAACCAGGGAAGGGAGGGCTTTTGAGGTCCGTCTCTTCTGGAGTCATACCTTCCTGATACCTGAGGCAGGTACCCCCCCCCCCAAGCTGTTTTCTGCCCATCTCAGACCTTCTGGAGCTGAGAGCTGCCTCCCACTTTTAAAGAGCCCTGACGATGCTGTGGGCACCCTCGAGGAGCTGACCGCTTTCTCCTCTCCATGGTGACAGGGCATCCTGGGCCCCGCGATGGGGAACGTGCTTCTGCCATGGAGCTAGTCCTCACAGCTGCCTGCTCTGTCTCACTCTTTCTATCAATACGTGCTGAGCCCCCAGGGCCAGGTACTGCTCTCAGCGCTGGCATCCCTGCAGTGAACTCTGCAATCACACCCTGCCCTCGGGGAGGGGACCATCTCCCGGGGGAGGTGATGGTTTCCCTCGGGAGACCTAATAAGTAACTCAGTCAGAGTAAATGGTGCAGACCAGGGCCGGCTCCATGGCTTAGCGGTTAAGTGCGCGCGCTCTGATGCTGGCGGCCCGGGTTCGGATCCCGGGCGCGCCCCGAGGCACCACTTCCCCGTCCAGCCCGGGGCCGGGTCCCGCGTACGGCAACTAGAAGGATGTGACCCTACAACATACAACTATCTACTGGGGCTTTGGGGGGAAAAAACTGAATAAATAAAATCTTTAAAAAAAAATAAAAATAAAAAAAAAAATAAATGGTGCAGACCAAGTAATAGACAATGGCAGGGGCAGAGATGAGGCACGGCTAGCCTGGGTGGTCCCGAAAGGCCTCTTTGAGCAGGTGACATCTGAGCTGAGACCCAAACCAACAATGAGAAGGAACCAGCCATTCATGAGCTGAGGGAAGAATGTTCTAAGCAGAGGGAACAGCAAGTACACAGCATGGAGGAGGGACCCAGCTTGGAGTATTGGAGGAGCAGAAAGAAGGCCAGAGCAGGGGGTGTGTGGGAGTCAAGGTCAGTGAACGGGGCCGGGGCCAGGGCATGCAGAGAGGGCTTGAATTTTATTCTGAGTGCAGTGGAAAGCCATTAGAGGGTTTTAAGCAAGGGACTGTCAAGATCTGATTTATGTATTAAAAAGCTCTCTCAGCAAAACCGTTAGCTTTACAATTTGCCATGGTGCAGGGCGGGGCTTCCCCTGCATGCCCAGCTGTCCAGGGGGCCAAGATCTCTGGCCTAGCTCTGGGGCCCACCTCTGGACAGGCCCACTAGAACCTGACAGGTCCGCTAGTCGCCCTGAGGAGTTGGTCACCAGGGCCCTGGACCCTCACCTCAGGGAGTGATTTAGCCAGGACAGCAGTGGACAGCTGCCACTCAAAGCCAGTCCTCCTTCTGACCCACCCTGGGCTCAGGCAGTGACCTCACACAGGTTGGAGTATCCCCAGAGTCAGGCTGGCTCCGCCGCCCCAGGGGGCCGGAGGTGTTGATGTTTACCCCGGCCAGGCCAGGGTCGCCACAGGGGACGAGGCAACCAGGCAGGCCCTCTACCTGGGCTTCTCCACCGTTGCAGCAAATTGGGACACACAATGTGTTGCTAACAGTGATGCCTGGACATCATCTAGAGGGTTCCTTTGTTGATGCGAGTAGATTGAGGTCTGGCCCTCTAATCACATCCCTCCCCATCACTTGCCATCCGAGATGGGCCCTGAGCAGACAAGAAAGAGAGGAACCACTGCTGCAAGCACTTTGAGACACCATCCTCAGTCTGTCTTATCTGGGTTGTGGGGAAGGGTGGGCGTTACTGATGCAGCAATGACCCCAGAGTAGTCAGTTTCCCACCAAACGTGGAATCCTGGATGAATACTCGGCACCACCCTAAAGAACAAGATGAAAAATAATCAACCTGGGGCACAGTTTCCTTTTGTTCCGTGCAAACATTTTGAGGCTTTGTCAAAATCCAAGTACACCTGTGGATAAGAATGTGTTGTGTTACACAAATGTCATATGTCACCTGTGTCCCCCAAGGGCAGAGGGCTGGGCTAGAGGCCAAGGGAACCCGAGAGGGACACAGGGCTCCAAGAGGGAGCTCTGGAGCCCAAGAGGTTCAAATCCTGGATCTGGACAAGTCCACTCACCAGCCCATGCCTTGGGTCCCTCATCTGTGATGTGACGTGGGGATAACGGGAGGCCTGACTGTCCCCGCTGGTGATGGGGATTAAACGAGGATCACATGTCAGTCACCTAGTGCCATAGCTGGCCCGTGGAACGCTCTCTGTAGATGGCACTTGTTGCTTTTGTTGGGATTATTATTATGATTCTTAATTACAATCACTGAAGTGGACAGAAGTTCCCTGGACTGTTGGGAGGACCAGGTGTCTGTGCTCCAGCCGCAAATTCTGCTCCAGGACCCCAAAGTTGGGGCCTGACCTCTTCCTGCAAGGGTGCAGTGACCAGCTTGTCCCAGTTTTCCCAGGACTTTCTTGGTTTTACCACTGAAAATCCCTCATCCCAGGAAACCCCTCAGTTCCCGGCAAACCAAGATGGTTGGTCACCCTATCAAAGAGCCTCCTTGGGAGGTGGAATGGCTCCAAAGTGACCACAAGGGTTATGACAAGCCAGACCAGCACCGGCTGGCAGGGCCAGTGCCTGGGGCTAAAGAGAGGTCAGGGTGGCCGCTGGGCCCAGCCTGAGGCACGTGGGCTGCTCAGTAGAGGGGCATTGTTGGTTCCAGCGGAGAGCCAGCGGGCCTGCACCGAGCTGGGGATGGGGGATGGAGGAAGGAGGCTGCTGGGGACAGTGGCTGGATTGTTCCCACCAAGGAATCAATCTGCCCGGAGCTGGCTCAAGCCGCCAGAAAGAGAGACACATGTAAATTGCAGGCCACAGGAAGGAGAAAACTGCAGGCAGATGGGCAAGAACATGTCCTTCTCCCTGACCAGCTCCCCTGGCCAGACCCCTCTCCTGGTGGAGCCCCCCAACTGCCCAGAGCCCTGGGAAAGCTTTGGAGCTTTCTGCAAAGACAGGTCGGCTTCTATGCCCTGAGCATCAATTCAAGTGCTGCATAGGGCCTGTGGGCATGGGAGGGCCTGTGTGCCTGGGGGAGAATTTTTTAATTGCGCAGGTCCATCTGGATCTACTCAGTGATTGGGTCACACAGCACACGCTGTCATTTCTGGGTGAGAAGGACCTCACCTTCCATGTCAGGCTGTAATGAGTTCCTTGGGACATCCAGTGTCTGAGTCTATCTGCCTCATTTCTTGGGCCCACCCAAGGGAAGGCGAGGTGAAGTATTGTTTCTCTGCCTTCTGTTCATAAGCCATTCAATGAGAATGTCATGAGTTTTCCAGTAAGGGGTCATGACTCATTCATGGGCTTGCAATAGTAATGCCAACAGGTCCCAGCTGTGTTACCAATGGTTACCCACGGTTACTGAGTTTACCTAAGTAACTGATGCTGTGTCATTCTATCTTGCAATGACCCTGTGGCATAGGTATTATTATCCCCCATTTAACAGATGAGTAAACTGAGGCTCAGGGAGGTTAAGTGAATTCCCTGAGATTCGTAGCTTGTAAAGCCAGAGCGGTGTTTGAACCCAGGTCTCTCTGGCTCTGGAAGTCATAACCCCTAAGGTAAGCGCCCTCAGTGAGATATACAATCAGGATCTGGTTGAGCACGTTGTCCTACATGAGGAGCCGTCCTGAGCCTGGGCTTCAGTGGTTCCTCCATCCATTTTGCAAGTTTTAATCAAGCACTCGATTTGTGCCAGGACCGTTCTGGTTACATGTTCTAACCCTGGGCAGCTGGTCATTAACCGTTTCCGTTGTTGTTGACAATAGTACCACGCTGAGCCTGATTCTGCCCTTCCAGCTCTGCAGGGCATAAAGAAACTCCTTCTGGAACTGCATAGGGTCCTACCTCCGTGCCTTTGCCAATGCAAGTATCTCCTCTCCTCACTGCACCCCGCCTCTGCCGCCCCGAAGGGGATCTCCAAGGCTGCCTACCTCTGCTCAGATGCTTCCCACCCTGTGTCCCCTCCCCGGCCCTCCCCATCCCAGTAACCCAACGGGATCTCCCACCCTGTAGCTCTGTTACGACACTTCCCACATCCGCACTATCTTATCATCGGCCGAGCACTGCTCGCAGACAGATAGAGATGCTGCATCTTGACCATCTCCGTCTCCCACCAAGGTCCTTGCCCATGCTGGTCACAGAGTAGTAGTAATTCAATATGTGTGCTCTGAATTGGCCCGAAAATTCTATACGGAGTGAGGTGGGAGCCATTGGTTCATTTGGTAGACTTATTAAACACGACCACATGCTGGACCAGCACTGGGTCCGGCTGGGCCTGTTTTTTGCCCCCATGCAGGTGACAGTCTCTTGGGGCTAACACTGAGATCATACCATTTGGAAAGGCTGTGATGGGGAAGGACGGGCCCTGGGCTTGGTCTCTGGGGGCTCTGGGCACGATTCCCAGAAGTGACACAAATCAAGGCCTGAAAGAAGGAGAAAGACAACTGTTCGAAGCAGAGGGAACAGCACGGTGAAGAGTTGGGAGATCTCAGTGGGACAAGAGCGCTGGAAACCTGCCTTTCCTCCCAGCCTCGAAAATGTCCAGCCAGAGACGCGTGTGTGCGTCTTTACGCCAATATGGCTTCCAAGACATGGAGGGGAATTTTTGGTACAAGTGGGCATGTTGATGTTTTATTTATATAAAGGGGAAGGGAGCTTGGAGTTCAAATTAGACACAAATTTGAGTCCCAGCTCAGCCACTTACAGCTATATGACCTGGGACAAGCCATTTCTCCTTTCTGAGACTCGGTTTCCTCATCTGTAAAATAGGAACAATAATACCCTTCCTCAACACCACTAGCTGCTCAGTCACATCTGCGATCATTTCGTGTCTGCCATTCCTGGGCGAGTTAGCTCATTTTATAGATGAGGAAGCCAGAAGCCAGAGAGGTTGTCTGGTTCAGGGCCACACGGCTAGCGCACAGCAGTGCCAGGACGATGACCAGGCCACCACCCTTCTGGGGGCATTTTCTGCTTCTGCTTTTCTCTCTGTGTCTAGAGGCCAAGTTACTCTGCTATCTTGTCTCCGTCAGTGACCCCACCCCACTGACCTCTTCCTGGTGGAGGTGGGGGCCTGATGTTGGTCCTTCTCCCTCCAGACCCGTATTTCGGCCAGCGTTACATCCACATCCTGGGCCGGCAGAAGCTTTACCACGTGGTCAAGTACACGGGTGGCTCTGCGGAGCTGCTGTTCTTCGTGGAAGGCCTGCGTTTTCCCGACGAGGGCTTCTCGGGCCTGGTCCACATCCACGTCAGCCTGCTGGAGTATATGGCCGAGGTGAGGGCTGCCCCTGGGGGCCAAGTGGGGCTCCTTCCAGGGGGCCACTCCCAGGAGCCCCCGCTATGCTCCAGTCCCCCCAAAGCACTGAGGGGGGTCCCGGCTTGGAGACCTAGATGCCCCCACCACTCACACCAAGAAGGGTGAGGCTGGGTCTGGCTCAGATTTACGAGAACGGGCCCGGGAGTCAGACTAACATGAGACACCGGGCAAGTGAGTTTATGCCTGTGCCTTATTTCCCCATCGTAAAACAGAAACCACTGAAGCTCCTGGTTGTGAGCATCCAGACTTGTAAGAACTCATTCGCAAAGCACCCTCCAGTCCCTGGGAAGAGGACAACGCAGAAGAGGCAGAGCTAACAGCATAGGGTGGGGAGGGGGCTTCTCCTGCTCCCACGGGTGCCTGGAGCAGCCTGGCCATCAGGGTCTCTCAGACCTGGGCACCAGCAGAGTCTCAAAGGCAGAGCCGGGCAGGAAAGGCCAGCCGTGCCCGTAGTCCCACCCCCATCCTCCCCACCAAAGGCAGGGGCCAGTTTCCTGTAGCTTTTCAAAGCCAGCAGCACAGGAACCCTGGAATCACACCTCATTTTCCCTCAGATTCCAGACAAGCTTCCTGAACCTTTCATTAAAGAACGATCTAGACATAGCGAAATTCCCCCAAACGACATTAAAATACACACACACTGAAAAGGGCAAGGGGCCCAGAGCAAAACAGAAGAAGGCCGGGGGCTGGCCCAGCCATCACGTGGGCTGACTTCAGGAAGAGAGCTTGGACGGGGCAGGATCAGAAGAGTGTGGGCTCAGTGGCCAGACCGCCTGGGTTTAATCCAGGCCCTGCCGCTTACTAACCAGGTGCCCTGGGATGGCTCCGTAACAGTTCTGTGACTCAGAGGTCAGTTTCCCCATCTGCAACACAAGGATTATAATAGCATCTACCCCCCGGGGTTGTCGTAAGGCAGAAAAGAATTGACACGTGTCAAAATACTTACCCTGGGGCCTGGCACACAGCAAGTGCTCGATAAACATCCTATTGTCATCAGTTTCACCCACTTTGGAAAGTGGGAGTGAAAAGCACCCTGACAAGACTTTTTGATCCCCTCCCCTTCTCACCCATGCCCAGGGGATTCCCCTGACACCCATCTTCACAGACACCGTGCTATTCCGGATTGCTCCGTGGATCATGACCCCCAACATCCTGCCTCCCGTGTCGGTGTTTGTGTGCTGGTAAGCAGGGGCCACGGCGCAGAGGCAGTGCGGCAGAGGGGCCAAGAGCTGGGCCTTCAGGGGCAAACAGACCTGAGTTCAGATCCCAGCTCTGTCACTCCCCAGCTGTGTGACCTTGAGCAACTTACTTGGCCTCTCTGTGCCTCCGTTTCTCTGAAATGCTGGCATCAGAGTCACTGTGAGGATTAAATGAGAGGAAGCAGGTGAAGTATTAATCCAAGGTCCTGGCACAGAGTGTGTGCTCTGAAAATAATAGCTACTGTTTCTTTTCTCCTTCTTGGCCCATACTGTGTATTTGGGAACCTCTCATGCGGTGGATAGTCAGCTCATCTTATTCATTCAACAGTTTTTTATTGAGCACCTATTACGTGCTAGACAGTCGCAGCAAGATGAGAAGAAGTGCCTGCAGCTGGACGCTGGCCACCCTGGAAGGGATCCCTGATGTCCTGGGCCCATCCTCTGCCTCTGTGCTAGGCATAGCTCTTCCTTGGAAATCTGGGCAGTCAGGGATGTAAGGTTTGGGGGCGGGTGGGGTTGAGAGTTCCCCTCCTCATTTTGTTTGTTCATGACCTTGGCAAACACCACGTGAGTAGGTGAGTTTGCTTGGCCCTTGACTCCAGCGGCCTTGCTAAGGAAACTGTGAGCACTGCTGTGGCCTCTTCTGCCCAGCGCAGCCCAGAGGTGCCAGCTGCTGTTGCCACTCAGTGGGCTTGCCCTCGTCCCTCCTCCTGACCCTTCCTCCTGGCCTTCCCCTCTTCCCCAAATTTGGCAGCATGAAGGACAATTACCTGTTCCTGAAAGAGGTGAAGAACCTGGTGGAGAAAACCAACTGCGAGCTGAAGGTCTGCTTTCAGTACATGAACCGAGGCGACCGCTGGATCCAGGTGAGGAGCCCCAGGCTGGGAAGGACGGGCCCCCGGGTCGGGCAAGAAGAGCTGGCTTAACATCCCTATCCCAGCAGCCAGCAGCTCCACGGATGGGAATCCAGGTGCACGTGGGCACAGAGACACGACTGTAGAAGGCAGTTCCCTGCAGCCTTGCTTCTTGCAGTGCAAAAGACTGTAAAGCCACTTACATGTCCATCCATGGGGCACTGGGTAACCACAGAGGGGACAGCCTCATCGTGGAGTACTATACAACAGATAAAAAGAATGACGCCAATCTATAAATACAGACTGCACTTCAAGTTAAGGTGTTACTTGCAGGAAAATGTATACAGGATGTTACCAATTCGGTTTTAAAAAATGGGGTCGATATGAGTACAAATATGCTTGGGATGTGCAGGGACTCTCTGAAATGATACGTGAGAAGCCACGGCCATCGTTTGCTTGTAGGAAGGAGAACTGGGGAGGCGGGCTGGTATCCACTGATGTCCCCCGGGCTCATCTGACAGCCTCCTTGGTGTCCCCACAGGATGAAATCGAGTTTGGCTACATCGAGGCTCCCCACAAAGGTTTCCCCGTGGTGCTGGACTCTCCCCGAGACGGCAACCTGAAGGACTTCCCAGTGAAGCAGCTCCTGGTGAGAGGCTGAGGGCCACCAAGGGGGTCGGGGGCTCGATCCTGGGGACTCCCACAGGACAGAGTGGTCAGGAGACCTTGGGCACGCTTGACAAATGAGTCTGTTGCCCGGGGCCTCCGTCTTCTCGTCTGTTCAGTGGGTCAGATGGGATAGTGACCTCTAAGGTCCTTTTCTGCTCTGATAACTGACGTTTTTCCAAAACACGGAGTTTTCTCGTGGCTAATCAAACTATGGGAGACAGAGGCAGGGCAGGCGCCCTCGTTCCTGCCACTGCCCCACCTCCAACTACAGCAAAATAAGTTTCAAAGATGAAATTATAGTTAAGCAATTGTCAAAAATGCAGGTTCCAACTTCAAGCCTCATTAAAGCTCTAGTTTTCACTTCATGTGTGGTTTTTTTAAATTATTTTGTTGAGGTCATATTGGTTTATAACATTGTGTAATTTCAGGTGTACGTTATTATATATCAGTTTCTGTATAGACTGTATTGTGCTCACCACCAATAGTCTGGTTTTTATCGGTCACTTTACATTTGTGCCCTTTTACCCCTTTTGCCCTCCTCCCACCCCCTTCCCCTCTGGTAACAACTAAACTGTTCTCTTTGTCCATGTGTTAGTTTATCTTCCACATATGAGTGAGATCATACAGTGTTTGTCTTTCTCTGGCTGGCTTATTTCTCTTAACATAATACCCTCCAGGTACATCCACCTTGTTGCAAATGGGATGATTTTGTCTTTTTTTATGGCTGAGTAGTATTCCATTGTATATGTAGACCACATCTTCTTTATCCAATCATTTGTTGATGGACACTTGAGTTGTTTCCACTTCTTGGCTGTAGTGGATAATGCTGCAGTGAACATAGGGGTGCATAGATCTCTTTGAATTGTTGATTTCATGTTCTTTGGATAAATACCCAGCAGTGGGATGGCTGGGTCATATAGTATTTCTATTTTTAATTTTTTGAGAAATCTCCATGCTTTTTTCCATAGTGGCTGCACCAGTTTGCATTCCCACCAGCAGTGTATGAGGGCTCCCTTTTCTCCACATCCTCTCCAACACTTATTATCTCTCATCTTGTTAACTATAGCCATTCTGATGGGTGTGAGGTGGTATCTCATTGTAGTTTTGATTTGCATTTCCCTAATAATTAATGATGTTGAACATCTATTCATGTGCCTGTTGGCCATCTGTGTATCTTCTTTGGAAAAATGTCTGTTCACATGCTCTGCTCATTTTTTGATTGGGTTGTTTGTTTTCTTGTTGTTGAGTTGTATGAGTTCTTTATATATTTTGGCAATTAACCCCTTGTCGGATATATGATTTGCAAATATTTTCTCCCAGTTGGTGGGTTGTCTTTTCATTTTGTCATGGTTTCCTTTGCCTTGCAGAAGCATTTTAGTCTGATGTAGTCCCATTTCTTTATTTTTTCTTTTGTTTCCCTTGCCTGAGTAGACATGGTATTCGAAAAGATGCTGCTAAGACCAATGTCAAAGAGCGTACTGCCTATATTTTCTTCCAGGAGTTTTATGGTTTCAGGTCTTAGATTCAGGTCTTTAATCCATTTTGAGTTAATTTTTGTGTATGGTGTAAGGTAATGGTCCACTTTCATTCTTTTGCATGTGGCTGTCCAGTTTTCCCAGCACCATTTATTGAAGAGGCTTTCCTTTCTCCACTGAATGCTCTTGGCTCCTTTGTCGAAGATTAGCTGTCTGTAGATGTGTGGGTTTATTTCTGGGCTTTCAATTCTGTTCCATTGATCTGGGTGTCTGTTTTTGTGTCAGTTCATGTGTGTTTTTAAAGCAATCAGACCCCTCACACCAATTCTAGAGGCCATTACCACTCCCTTTTTATGCCCTCAACAATGACTGAGTGAGGGCAGAACAGAAATCAGTCTCTTTCGTCCTCCCCTTCCGCCCTGAACAGGAGGCGGGGCTTGGCCAGAGCACGAAACAGAGACTGGGGTAGGTCAGGGGGCTTTCCCCAGGTCACACGTGGGGTGCCTCCCTGAGACATCAGGGCTGCTCAGAGGTGACCGCTTGCCAGGTTCACACCTGCTTCCTGAGAACATTCGTTAACTCGTCCCCTCATCACAGGGAGATGGTAAAGAGCTCAAAGCTCTGGAATGTCCCATGGACCTGGCCTTGAATCCTGGTTCCAGCCCTTAGCAGCAGTGTGACCTTGGGCAAGCAACTTAACCTCCTCAAGCCTCAGTTTGCTCATCTGTAAAATAGGCATAGAAACGGTATCCATCTCACAGGATTGTTGTGAAGATGGAAGGCCTTGTATAAGGCATCCGTGCTGCACCTGACACAACGACCACGATTAGCTGGTTATGAGGCCACAGCCCTGGACACTGTCCTCAGTGAGGACTGTCCACTTCCTCCGGCACTGGGACGGGTAGAGTTCAACCGGCCTCCAGCAGCGGTTGCTGCAGGCATGAGAACCAAGGCCTCCCAGATTCTGCTCTCACTCTCTGCCCAGGTCACCGTCTACCTTCAGTGTTCCCGGCTGGTCTGGTTTCAATGCGCCAGGCTGCATTGTTCCTGGAGGCCTGAGCCAAGCCTGGCTTTGTGCTTCGTCCCTGCCCACCTGTGTGATGCCGTAAAGCCCTAGCTGCCCCAGCCCCCGGCAAACCGCACCTTGCCATCTGGGGCTCTCAGGCAAGAAAGCCCTAAGCTGCAGCCGTCCACCCCACCAGGCGTGATTGTCCCTTGAGCCTCACGGCAAGGCCAGGATAAGCCACATCCTCTCACTCTGTGGCTTTTTCCACAAGGACTTTTGTTGGGCAAGCTTAGTTCCAGCCCCAAGGCAAGCTCCCACGCAAGGCCCCTACATTTTTACCAAAAAATCATGAAAGGCATCTTAAAATTCAGGAGGTCACTGGGGTTATATCATGTGCCAACTGCAGTCTGCTGGAGCTCTGTGCTAAGAAGGATTCTGAGGCTACATCTGGGCTCAGTGAACAATATGGCTTGAGAATGGGGTGGGGTGGCATATACATTACATTCCTGTGTGTATTGGTCAGCTTTCACTGGGTAAGGCTGCAGTAACAAACAACCCCCCAATCTCAATGGCTGACAACAGCAAAGGTCTGTTTCTTGCTTGTGCTCTCTGTTGACTGCTGGTTGGTTGTCTGCAGCTCTGCTTCCTTGTGCCTTCCTTATTCTAGAGCCCAGGCTGTAGGAGCAACCCCAGTCTGGAAAATGCCATTCTCCTAGCACAAGGAGAAGAGAAAGAGAGTGAGCAGGCATACCCAGTGGCTCTTATGGCTTCTGCTCTGAACTGGCATGCATCACTCCTGCTCACATTTCATTGGCTAATCCAAGTCACATGACCAAGTCTGGGGTACTATATTCCTTCCACTGGGAGGTACCAGAAGTCACACAGCAATGGCTCAGGATGCAAAATCCTCTTACTGGGAAGCAGGTGGCAAGTCTCTGGGAACAAGAATACAATCGGCCACCCTGCCTCATGTCACCTAATCCGACACCTCTTTTACAGATGGGGAAACCGAGGGCCAGAGAATTTAAGAGATGAGCAGGGACATCAATAGCACAATATGCAGACTAATCCTGAAATCAGTATGTCTCTGTGTTTGGGAAATAGAGGCACAGGCAGAGACCCAGAGGTGCACACACACTCACTCATACACACTCACATTCTCACATGCACACCCACATTCACACCAAGGTGCTCACGAACTCGGCATCCGCATGCCAGGCCCCTGCTCTTTGGTGGGAATAAGACAACCATCAGCGACCCCCCTCGAGACTAAATGCCCATGGTGCCTGACCAAAGGTGGTGAGAGAGTGGTCATCAGAGGGTGGCTGGGTTGGAGCTAAGGACTCCCAGCTGCAGGAGACTAATGACGGTGTGTGCCCCCTGCCCAGGGCCCAGATTTTGGCTATGTGACCCGGGAACCCCTCTATGAGACTGTCACCAGCCTCGATTCCTTTGGAAACCTGGAGGTCAGTCCCCCAGTGACTGTGAACGGCAAGAAATACCCCCTGGGCCGGATCCTCATCGGGAGCAGCTTTCCTCTGTAAGAGACGCCAGGGTGGAGCTGGGGGCAGCAGGGTGGGGAGGTTGCTGTTTCTCTTTAGGGGTGGCCTGGGTTGCTCATACATGGAGCAATTGGCTGGGAGAATTAATCCCTCCCACAACTCTCTGATAAGACACAGACACTCTTGGAAAGAAAACCAAGTTAGCCTTTACATCTTAGTATGAATTAGGATCTAATATAAAACTAAATAAATAATTATCTTCCCAAAACGGGAGGATGTATAATGAGATCATAAACCAGGTGGGGAGGGGATGAAGGGGTCCAGAGAAGGAATACTGAAAGAGGGTGAATGGGAGCACACCAACAAATCCTCGGGGTGCCTGTACACAATAACGTCACAAGAAGACAGGGCTGTGCCCCAGAGTCATGAGTCCCTGGCTCCCCTGGCCTGTCCACAACACCCTCACTCCCTCCCCAGGTGACCCATCAGTCAATGGAAAGGTAGATTCTTCCTTGGTTAGGACAGTCTCTGGGGAGAGAGTATTGTGGGTCCTCACTTCACAAAAGGGCTGCCAGGAACCTGCACATATGGGATCAGCCAGAATTTGGGCACCAAGTCCCTCTGAGCCACGTGGGATTCTCTACCTTCTATGGGGAGGCCACTGGCACAGGCAGTGACCATTGGCCCACCCTCCCCTCCTTCTCGCTCCACTCATTAGTCACTCTTCCATTCAGCAGGTACTTCCCAAGCACCAGCCCAGTGCCAAGACCATGTCAGGCATAGGTTTCCTAACATGAAGTCCAGCCCCCGCCTTCAAGGAGGTGGTGGAAATCAGACATGAAACAGGGGCATACAGTGATAGAAAGAATGATGGGGCCAGGAGAACCCAAGGAGGGAATCCCCTTGGGGATTTCAGGGAGGGTTTCTTAGAGGCAAATATTTGTGTAGGGCCTTCTCTGTGCCGGGTATTGTTCTAGGGTCTGGGGACATAGCAGTGAACAAAACAGACAGAGTCCCAGCTCTCGGGGAGTTTCCAGTTAGGGATGGGGCGAGTACAGAAAATAAACATGGAGCAAGCAAGTAAATACACTTCTGGGTGTTAAGTGCCATGAAGGAGATAAAATAAGGTTCCATGATGAAGAGTGATGGGGCAGAGGCACATAAGCTTTTGTGGTTTTGAGGAAGTGACTTTGGAATTGAGGCTGGATGATGAGAAGGAGGCAGCTGTGGGAGGATCGGAGGGAAAGAGCATTCCAAATAGAAGGGACAGCAAGGGCAAAGCCTTGGGGTGGTAACAAGATTAGCCGGTGGCTGGTGCAAACAGAACAAGGAGGAAGGGAGGAGGGCCAGGCAGGGGCCAGATCAGAGAGGAGTTTGATCTGTAAGCCCACTGTAAGGACCTTGGGTTATAGTCTAAGGGTAATGGGGAGATTGAAGACCTCAGGGGGTCTAGAAGTCAGGAAGGGCTTCCTGGAGGAGGCGTCACTTGAACTGATTAAAGAAAATGAGTAAAAGTTAACGTAGCAAAGACGCACATGGACTAGGGCAGATTTTGGAACCGTGCTTGTGCCCTAGCCCCCTCCAGCAGTCCAGGCAAGACCCCTGAGCACAGAAGCTGGCCTCCTCATGCCTACTGGCATTCTTGGGGGCTGAAGGCTGAGCTCCGTGACCTGCACACTGGCCACGGCTGCAGCTAACGCCTCCCTCTTTCCCCTTGGGCTCAAATGCCTTCCTGCCTGTGCCAGGGGCCCTCAGCCTGCAGCTTCTTCCCATGACGTCTCCACTGATGCCACCCGGGTTCAGGCTGTGTTCCACAGGCTGCAGGCCCCCTGGTGAGGCAGGCCTGGTGGACAGCCTCTGAAAAGCTGCCTCCCCCCAATCCTGCCGCAGGTCTGGCGGCCGGAGGATGACCAGGGTGGTGCGGGACTTCCTGCAGGCCCAGCAGGTGCAGGCGCCCGTGGAGCTCTACTCGGACTGGCTGACCGTGGGCCACGTGGACGAGTTCATGACCTTCGTCCCTGTCCCAGACACAAAGGTGAGCTGGCCCCAGAGACTGGGGTGAACAGGGCAGTGAAGAGCCCGTGTACTCCCAGCTCTTGCCAGCGGAAGGTAGGATCACAGGACGTGGACCGCATAGAGGAAGAAGGAAGTAGGCTGAAGCTGGTTGGTACGTGGTTGCTGTGGCAGGAAAATTTTTAACCCAGTATATCCGAAATATTAGCATTTCAACATGTAATCAATATAAAAATTATTAAGGAGAGATTTTACATTCTTTTTTTCACACTATGTCTTCAAAATCTGGTGCGTATTTTATTCTTACAGCACCTCTCACTTCGGACTAGCCACAACTCGAGTGTCCGATAGTCACGCAGGGCTATGGCTACTGCACTGGCCATGACGTTCTAGAGAGAACTGGAGTATGGGCCTGGGGTTCTGGAAAGAGGTTCTTTCATTTTCTGAAGTGAAAAGGATGGTTGCAACTTTATACCCTGGAAATTTTGTGCCAATGGCCTCTTGGCCACTTGGAGAAGCCCTTCCATTCTGTCCAAGGTCCCCTTTGACTCCGTGGCGCTTCGCGGAGGGAGGAATTTCTATAGCAGGAAGGGGGAGACATATTCCTCTGAGACAGAGCAAACCCTGCCAGGCAGCCTTTGCCCCTCAGCATGGGGAGGCTTGAGACGATGTGCCGACAGGGGTCTGGGTCCTCGGGGCGGGGGCCCCCTTGTGCTCCTTTGCCACTTTCCCTCTGCTGATGTCGCCCCTCTGGGTGGTCTCTCGCAGAAATTCCTGATGCTCATGGCCAGCACCTCGGCCTGCTACAAGCTCTTCCGAGAGAAGCAGAGGGAGGGCTATGGGGAGTCCATCATGTTCAAAGGTGAGTGCCCACAGCGCCTCTGCAGGAGCGGGCAGCTGGCCCCCAGAGAGACCCTCAGGAGGGTGCGGCGCCCAGCTCCACTTCCCTGGGCGTGAGGTCACCATGGCGGGAAGCAGCCCCGGCCTCTTGTGACCCTCGCTGTGGTCACCTGGACCATCAAGCTGCCCACTGCTCCCTATTATTGTCAACAGTGCCAGGCGCTTCTTGGGGACCAAGTGTATCCTTTAAATGGCACCAGACCCAGAGGAGAGTTGAATGGTCAAAACCGACATGCGGTCTGCATTCAAGGAGCTCGTGTTTTAGAAAAAAGATAGAGAAAAATATACACAATGCAGTTTGGGGACAAGATGAGAAGGGGGAGTCGACAGACAATACATAGACAGTATCACTGCCAGTCCCACAGTGAGAAATTGTCTGCCTAATTTAGCCATCCATGTAGTTGGGACCGATGTAGACCGGGCTGAGGTTTGCTGGTAAATTAATCCTGGAAAGGGGGAAAGCTGACCAGGTGGAGACAGTCAGCCAGGTTAGAGAGGCCATGACAATCTGTTATGTTTTTCTTAAATTGCTTTTTGTCACTTTTCAGGTTGGTATCTCCCATCTACCTCACTCCCAAAAGTCTGCATTCCTAAGGCTGGTGGACGCTTACATTACTGCCCTCCATACCCAAAGGCAGCACTCCTGAGAGTGACTGGTGTCTGGGACAGACAAGACCAATTTAAGACCACCATCCTTTTTTAATTCCCCACTGGTGGGAAATTTTTTCTTGGATTGGCAGGCATGAATCTTGACCTTCTGGAGGCTTCTTTCTGTATTAAAGATACCCCCAAAGCTACCCACAGGATATAGGAACCATTATCTTTGTACCAGTAGCTCCAAGTGGTGGTGTGGAGACAGCTCAGGTACAGGGTGTGACAGCCCCAATCTCTTTGCCGCTGGCAAACTACAAGACTGGGAAGCACAATGGACCAGCAACAGACTCTTCCCAGACCAGGCAAAAAAAAAAAAAAAGAGTTAATAGCATCAACTCTGGAATCAGTTTGCCTGGTCTGCGTATGGGCTCTCTGCCACTAGCTGGGTGACCTTACACAAGTCATGTAACCTCTCTGTGCCTCAGTTTCCTCATCTTTAATGCTAGCAGCTACCTCAGAGAAATGTGGGGAAGATTGCTGAATTAATCCATGTAAAACATCTAGAAGAGTACCTGCCACATGGTGGGTGCTCGATGAGCCTTAGGTGTTACTAATCAGGACAGAAGCCACGTGGGCCATCGTGATGGACTAGGAGGCAGATGCAGGCACAGACCAGGGCAGGGCCGAGCATGAGGCAGGTCTGGAAAACAGGAAGGATGACACCTCTGGGCATCCTGCTCCCGCCGCACTCACGCCGGTCAGCTCCTCGTCCTTAGAAGCAGGCCCCAGGTGGGAGACCCAGGTGCTGCTTGTGTCACCCCCACCCCTTGGCCAGAGAGAGAGCAAGGCAGTCGCCACCCCTTCCCTGGCCCAGACGACGTGGCCAACTCTGGAGAAATGAAGATGTGCTGCCCTCCCCAGGCAGAGGGGCCCTGGGTTTACCTGGGGCTTGCGCCCCTGTGTCCCAGCCTGTCCCCACCTCCGTCTCCCTCATTCCAGCAGTTAGCCCAGAAGCTGGGGGGCCTTGGCAGAGGGCGGCACCCAGGCTGGCGCCTAGAGCCAGGCCGTCCCCTGTCCTCTGACCCCCACAGGCTTGGGCGGGATGAGCAGCAAGCGAATCACCATCAACAAGATTCTGTCCAGTGAGAGCCTCGTGCAGGAGAACCAGTACTTCCAGGTGAGGGGGCAGCCAGCGGGCAGAGGGCCCCTGGGAGGGACGAGGCTCCGCCCGATGACACCTCTCACACCCTCAGGGCTTCCATGGGGAATGGCCAAGGGCTCAGGGCGCATGACAGATGGAAGGGTCTCAATGAGCTTTCGGCCCAGCCTCCCTGCTTTACTCCAGTGCTAACGCTGGAGGGTAGAAGAGATGACAGAGGCAGGACGTGCAGGTCAGCAGAGGCTAGAAGCAGACAGGAGAGGGAAGAAAGACATGTTAGGCAGTGGTAAAGCGCCAAGGGCTCTGTAAGGCTAGAGGACGTAACATCTGGGGGAGACACACGCTTTTCAAATATGATGAAAGCTACAGACCTGCTCTCCAGAAAAATGCATATGTGAATATATGCCCTGAATTTTTATTAGTTTTAGGGGATCAGAGATCCCTGAAGTTTTCTATCTATGGATGGATTCCCACTTCTGAGTCTCTAAATCTCAAAGGTTGTATCCACAAGTAGAAACCAGTCAACAGGATCATATTTATTTGAATTAAATCTCTCTTTATTTGCATGGACATATTTAAAAGGATCAAGTTTAAAAAAAAACAGAAAATTCAAACTGATTTAAACAAAAAGGCATGATTGGCTCATATAAGTAGAAAGTCCAGCAGTGGGGTGGATTTCAGGCACAGGTTGATCAGGGCTCCAGCTCCATTTCTCTGCACTTTGTGGGCTTTGTAGGTGCCCTCATGGTAGGAGCATAGCTGCAACAGTTCAAAGCCTCACATCCACCCAGTATGCCATCCCCCAAGAAAAAGGTCTCATACGCCCCAACAATTGGACAGAAGCCTTGCATTTCACTCCAGATGGGCCATCCTGAACCAATCCCTCTAGCCAGGAGAATTCCATACACTGATTAGCTTAATCCTGGGTGACTGCCCATCCCTGAACCGATCACTGGGGCAAGGAGCTAGGGGCAAGAGTCCACTAATTAACTCTCTCTGGGAGGTGGGGATGTGGTTGATCCAACCCAACAGCACGCTGCTGCATTGCGGGGGCCGGTGGGAAGGGATGCTAGAGGAGCGACTGCAAGTTTCCCCAAGTTCACAGAGTGCCTCAACGCCTATTTCAACATTGACTTTGTCATAACTGTCGCCCCACCATGGTCATTTTCTGGCATCAGGTAGATCTGAGGTCAAACCACGGCCCCCCACTTTCGGCAGGAGGACCTTGGGCAGCTCACTGAGGACTCGGTGTCTCAGGTCCCTCGTCTCTAACGAGGGGATGATAATAGTGTCTACTCGTGGGGTTGAGGCTTAAATAAGTAATATACCTAAAGTACTTGGAACAGTACACTTAGGGCTTGTATATATTAGCTTTTATCATTATTATCAAAACCCTCATCACTGTCATTCTCAGCTCACGGGGTGGCCCGAGGATTCGATGAGATACTGTGTTACAAGTGCGTAGCACGGGGTCTGGCTCATAGTAAGTGCTCAGTAAATGACAACAGCTAGTGTTGTTTCTGCCGTCTTCTCTCGCGTTCTCTTAATTACTGCTGTTACTGAGCGCTGGTGACAGGGCCCTGGCGAGGTGGCAGGGGTGCTCGGTGAGCGCTGGAAGTCCCCCTGGAGTCTGGGGCCCTGGGTCTCATGCTGCAGACAGGAGTGGGATGGACAGAGATGGCAGGGGTGTCCCTCACCTGCCCGCCCGCCCTTCCTGCCCCTCGCCCAGCGCTGCCTGGACTGGAACCGTGACATCCTCAAGAAGGAGCTGGGACTGACGGAGCAGGACATCATTGATCTGCCCGCTCTGTTCAAGATGGATGAGAACCGCCAGGCCAGAGCCTTCTTCCCGAACATGGTGAGGCGCTCCCCCCAGACCTCGTCCAGGCCAATCAGGGGGCAGCCAGATCCAGAAGGACCCCTTGGCCGAGGCTGTCCAGTCGGGAGGCCCAGGCGCCAGTCCTGGCTGAGCTGCTGTGTGGCCTCACCCCCCACCCCGGCACGTGCCCTCTCTGAGCCTCATTCCCCCCAGGGGTGATATGCTTATCCTCCTGGGGTGCTGGGGAATCTTCTACCTTAACGGAGAGGAAAGTGCTTTCTGAGTTAAAAAGGCATTGATGGACAAGAGGGATTCTTGCTGTCATGGAGGAGAGTCTTCTATGAGGGAGAAAGAGGTTAGAACACACACAGATACATAGATACACGTACGTGCGTGTACACACAAATACACGTATGCATGCACGTGCACACACTGATGTGTACATGTATAGCCACGCACACATGCATGTACAGACACGTACATACAGAGACAAGTCGCCCAGTTTTCCACTTCAGCTCTGCCATGCGTGAGTTGCTTAGCCCCCTCTGTGCCTCAGTTTCCTCATCTGTAAAGTGGGGATAATCACAATCCTACCGCATAGGGTTGTTGGGGGCGTTCGCTGAGCTTAGAACAGGGCCAGGCGCGTAGCAGGTGCTCACTAAACAGAAGCTGTTGCCCCCACTCGTCACAGGTGAACATGATTGTGCTCGACAAGGACCTGGGCATCCCCAAGCCGTTCGGGCCCCAAGTGGAGGAGGAGTGCTGCCTGGAGACGCATGTCCGCTCCCTGCTGGAGCCCCTGGGCTTCTGCTGCACCTTCGTCGATGACATTTCCGCCTACCACAAGTTCCTGGGGGAGGTGCACTGCGGCACCAATGTCCGCAGGAAGCCCTTCGCCTTCAAGTGGTGGCACATGGTGCCCTGAGCTGCAGGGGGCCGTGGCGCTTCCCTCCTTCCCTGCGTTCTCCAGACCCCTCATGCCCCCAGAGCTTCCCCTGCCCGACGTGGACTGGGTGGCCCCGCCCAACACCTCCAGGAAGGGGGGAGGGATTTGAGATATCTGTGCCTTGCCCTCCCTCAGAAGGGCCTCAGCATCCACTGAAGTCCCCCGCCCTGTGAGCCTCAACTCTGCCCTTCCTGAAAATAGCCGGGCATTTGGCCAGTGTCTCTGTAGCCCTGACATGAAATACAAAACACAACAAAAAGCCATGTACCCAAACCATTCTGCAAAGAATCCTTAGTCTCTTGTCCAAAATTGAATGAGGGGAGAAGGGAAGGAGGTTCTGGGGTCACCGGTTCTCCCGGGAGCCGTGCCCTGAAGGTGGATGGTGCGCAAAGGGACCCTGAGACCCTGGACGTGCCTTGAACTGCCATCATCATTTCAAGTTCACCTCCCTTGGGGTGTCCAGGTGGCCCCCCCATTATTCATTCCTTACCAGCCTCTCTCAAATCCCTTGGCTTTCTCTCTGCAGTGTAGACACCATTGGCTAGCCTCCCCGCTCCCTGAGGGTCCAATAAGTTAGCTTAGAACCTTCCCTGGAAGCAGATGTCATCAGAGCGGCCTTCTCCATTTTCCAGATGCTCCTTCTGCCTCATCTTGCTCACGGACACAGGCTCTCCCAGATGCTTGGGGGTTGCTCCCCAGACCGGCATCCTTGTGGCCTGAGAGTTCCGTGTGTAAAGATGCCCCGGGGTCAGCCATCTCCACCTTCTCTTGCCTGGTTCTCCATTCTCTGGCCAGCCCCTGACCTCCCTCCTCTCACGGCCTCTATTTCCCATTCCTGATGCCATCTCTCCAGGCAGCTAGACAAGGACTTCTTCACCACCAGACAGGCTCAGACCTTCCCCCAGGATATAGTTAAAGACCCACCCCTCCTCCCCAGACATCAGACCCGACATGTAAGGACGCTGGCCTAGCCTCCAGCCCGAACAGCCGGTTCTGGGCCAGCTGCTGGCCTTAGAGACAGATCAATGATCCCACTGAAGTTTGGCATTTGCTGTAGACCCTCTCACTTGGACATAACCAGATTAATTCCCTGGCTCCAACCGAAAAGACTCAGTTTCAACTAAAAAAACTTCCTTTAGGGCCAGCTGATGTCAGGAGAATAAGTAAACCATAATTGCACTTTGAAGGTTAAAAAAGAACTGATGAAAAGGTTATAAATTTGTATTCTTGGGGGGCCGGGATTTTCTTCTCGGATTATTTCGTTCACTCATTCAGCAAACGTGTTATGTGCCTACTAAGTGCCAGGCACAGTGTTGGGCTCCAAGGATACAGTGGTTAATAGTAAACTGGGCCTGGTCCCTGCCCCATGGAGCCGGTCAGATCCCAAAATGCACCCCCACACATTTAAATGGCCAGCATCTACCCTCTCAGTGATGTGCTCTTTAGAAACGCCAGTCCGCTATATTCAGGAAAGGCCCAGGGCACAGGGCTTCCTTCAGGTCACTGTCTCAATGAAGTGGGAGGGAGGTCTTCTTTAAACAGGCCTCCCTCCCATCCAGCTGGGCCAGGGCCACCAGAATATCAGACCCCAGAGCCTTCAGAAGCTGTTGTCCCCCCTGTGGGGACAGTGGCCCTTGCCTTTGGGGGCCAAAGTCCCAGATCTTCTTTCCAACCCCAGAGCTGGACACCAAGTGCATATCTGAGGGTGTTTATCTGGAGACTTCAAGTTTGTCATGTGTGTGTGTTTGGTTAATGTGGGTTTTTGGGCTTGCTTTCATTTTTCTCAGTTTTTTCTAGTCTGCTTGAAGGGGAAGTGAGTGCCTCCCATGTAGAGACAGTGTGTGTTTATAGATTTTTCTAAGGCTCTCCCCATCAATAAGGCAGTCATTTGATGACTGCCCCCAGGTATGATGATTCTGAAGCCCCCAGGACTCAGACTCCTGTTCCTATCCTGCTTGCCCACCGGTGTGACTACCCTCAGTGGGCACACCCCCCACCCATGGACTCATTGCTCTCCCCACCCCCGACCTTCTATAAATATAGACCTAGAATACACTTCTGTGTTGCAAAACTCAGCTAAGTTCCTGTTTCAATCTTTATTTTGAAATATTTGATGTAAGAGGGCAGGGGGTGTCGTGAGGATGGCAAGAAGTGGGGCGCGTTTGCAGCTTTCCAGACGAAAGGCCGTGATGGAGATCAAAAGATGTTTGGGGAAGAGCCTGATTAAACAGCAATAAAATAAACAGTCAGAGGGGCAGTCATGTGGCTGTTGGTGTGATGTTCATTGCTGCTTCCTGGACACGGCCTGGAGTGAAGCAGTCCACACACGGGCCCTCTCCTGGTCCTGCAGCCACTGCTGTTCTGGGCACGTGGTCAGGGCTCTCGGCAATGGTATCTCTAGGGTTTGGCATCCCCCTACACTCAATGGATGTGTGTTACGTGGCTCCCCCCAAGGTCAAGACCAACACCACAATAAGGTCTGACTGTGTTTTTCTGGTGGGATTCCCCAGAAGCAGACCCTGAGATGAACATTTGAGAACAAGTGATTTATTAAGGAAATGCCTCCAGGAGAACCCAGGAAGGGAGTGGAGGGACCAGGACGGGGAAGGGGAAGAAGCCAAATGAGAGTGTGACTTCAGGTGTAGCCCCAGCCTGGTCACTGGAGAGCTCTGGGGCAGAAGCGGCAGCTCAGAGGTGATCCATCAGGAGGTGGAGCTTTGTACACCTGCACCAGTCAGCCATTGGCGATGGGGACTTGGGCTCTCTGAATGGACAAGGGGGCACCAGGAGCCCACGGGCAATCATCTAAAGAGGATCACAGCTGTACTTACTAGCAGCAAAGGAGCTGGGGAATGGGCACCCAGGATCAGAAGAGGATCCGGCAGGACACCAACAGGGCCACTCCTCTGGGTAATATCATGTTCTTATAATATGGAGTTGTTACACATAGGTATTTGTGATTTGACCTAAAAATCCTTATGCTATAGCCATGGTCTAACAGTGTCTTTGTGAACAAACTCTTGAGGCTTGAAATAGAGCCATCTGGTTGGTGGCTATGCCTAGAAGCCACTTCCAAGCTCTTTGGGTTACGTCTGCGGGTTTCTTACCCCTCAGCCCCATCTTGGGCTTCTGGACTGATGTTTTGGTGCAACCATTTTAAGGGGCCACTGCAAAATGAAAATCACTAGTTCTCCTACTCCCAGACTTAACCCATGGGTCCACCCTCTGAGTCACTCTTCCCTTTTATACCCAACTAACATGGGCCAGCCACAGCAAGGCCAATCTTCAGTGGGGTTTCCTGACCCACCTAGTTCTGGGACTCCCCAAGGAATGCTGGTGTGTTTAATGCATCCTGGTGGTGTTTTCACATCTTGGCCACACACCTGCCTCAGGATTGCTGAAAGTCACCCTGAGACTTCTAGAACAGCGCTTTCCAATAGAAATATAATGCAAGCCACAGATGTAATTTTAAATTTCCCGGTAGCCACATTTTAAAAAGTAAAAAACAATTGAAGCTAATTTTAATAATATGTTTTCTTTAACCCAATTTATCCAAATTACTAGCATTTCAACATGAAATCAAAATTTTAAAATATTAATGAAATATTTTACATTCTTTTTTTTGTAGTAAGTCTTTGAATGCTGATGTATATTTTATGGTTATATCACCTCTCTATTTAGACTAGCCACATTTTAAGTGTTCAATAGCCACAAGTGGTTACTGTATTGGAAGGCAGAGTTCTAGAATCTTCTCTGCCAGACTGAGCCCCAGTTATAGAAACAGGCATATTCCTTAAATCTCTAGAGTCCAGCTAGTCTAACTGCAATAGCTAACAAAGGTTTATTGTTATAATACCAAAAAGAGAAGCATAAAATAGACACCAGCCCTCCCTGGCCCTTGTGTGCAGAGCCTTGCCCTCCAGAAGCTCCTCTTGCCTGAATATGGCTGCTGCCATGGTACCAGGACTGGCCTCTCTCTCAGCAAGGGGAGTGCCTTTGGCCAGGTCCCCTCTGCCGACTGTCAAGATGGGAACCCCCACCAGTCCCATGGAAAGGGAAAACACAACTCCTTCACCTCTAGTCTCCTCTAGTCTCCCTCTGGGAGACAATTTGATTTTGCATTTTAATGTAAGATGTTGTCTTGGGGTCTTAGGTGAGGGGAGTTGAGGTTCTCATCATCCGAGCCCCTTCATTCTAGGAGGCATCTGAGCCATATCGTGGTATAGCCAAAAGCCTGTGGAAGTGGGGTCCTCCCCCCCAAACGCAGGAGCAGCCAGGGATGAATTCTGCCTACCCAGCACGACTTCTCCAGGATCCTCACCCAAGTGGCCTCAGGTCCAGGGGGCTGATGGCAACGTTATTGGTAACTAAATATAGTGAGTGACACCAAATGACAGCATGTGAAATCTTCTCCAGCTGGACAACCCAGAAAAAGGACGTGCCCAGGCAGAAAGCTTGGCGCTGCAGCCTCGTCTCAGGCCGGCTGATGTGAGAAATCTACTTTTTCATTTGTGCTTCCCACCTCCCCACCCCCTCCCACCAGCCGGGCTCCTTTTCAGCCCCGATCTCTGAGAAGGCAAACGGCTGGTCTTCTCTGGCTAGTCAAGAAGCAAACTTCCAGGTTCAGGTCAAGCCGGCTTTGCCGGAGCCCCTCGCCCCGCAGGCTGAGGCCCACTCTAACACGGTCGTGGCTATACCCCAAGACGACTCTTCAAGAACAGTCTCTCACTGGCATTCCAGGGCCACATTCACATGCTACTGTCGACGCAAATAATCCATGATCAATCTATAAGTCAAAATTGGGGTGAGTTTATTATACGAGCCAGCTTTGAAAACTGTAGCCTAGAAGTGACCTTCACCCAGGAAGAAAGCTCTCTGAAGAAGCAGGGTGTACAGAGTGGTTCTATACCGTCTTGGGACAAGGAACACACATCACATAAGGCAGGAATATCTCTTTCACTACAGTCACGAGATGCTTTGCTGGCACATCAGGTCAGAGGTCACAAGATGAACACAGCAGGTTGGTAATTAATCCTTAGTTTCTGGGAAGAGATGCTTATTCTTAAAGAAATGCTGACACAGAGGGAGCCACATCTCTATCTTTAAGGACATCTTTCTTGGCTTTGGGACATCGTAAATGTTTAAAGCAGATGTACAATGCATGCTCAATAGGCCGCGTCAGGCATTCCTGGAAAAATAAAGTCAGGCCGAATTTAGTTTTAAACCAAATGTCTTCCTCATATACTCCAATATATGCTATTACTTTTCATTTATTCATCGCTACTATGTACTGATGTGTTGAAGAGAGAGATACATTCAACCTTTAAAAGGAATATTTTATCTTCCTCCTGATGGCAATTCCTGGCACATAGTCAGTGCTCAGCAAATACGTTTTGAATGAAAGAATGACACTTCTGTTCAACTAGGCAGTGGAAGCAAAAATATCAGCCCAACCAGATGTGAGGGAATAATAGCCACCATTTCTTA